GCTGGGGCTGAAGAGCAAGGCGGGCGCCTTTGCCATCCTGGTCACCCTCATCGCAGGACTGGCTTTCTCCATACAGGGTGAGATGGGGGTGCATGTCGCCTCTTGGGTACCCCCCCACGCACAAGGCGCAAAAGCAAGCGGCAGGGGGGGCCGACAGATGGCCTGAGACAAGACCGTGCCGTGCCGTGCCGTGCGCCTTGGCATCTGGACGGCTGACCCTGGCCTGCCTGTGCCTCCACCTTGGCGGCAGGCGGCCTCTTCCTGTCGCGCTGGGTGCGGGGCTGAGTGGCGAGTGGCGGGCCCTGCTGAGGCGGCAACCATGCATACACCCCAGATTTCTGTTGCATTGGCGGCTTGGAAGGACCCCACTTAGCATGCCAACCGACTGAATTTCAAACTCTTGGAGGGAGCCAGCACCAGGATGCCTGTCGCTGGTTGAGCACCCTCTTGCCTGCCGTGCGCGCCTGGCGGCGGTGAGCGGCAGGCCTTGCCCTCACTTGCCCTGCTACGCCAAAGCAAAGCCAGCGGCTGCTCTGCCTTTGCACTAGTGACCAACTCAATGTAACATGACGGCAAGGCATCAAGGCAGGGCGGGAAGCGCAGCACGCGGGTAGCCGCCCACGTCGATGTCATTGAGAGGTGCCGATCAGCCCGTCCCGCCACCGCTGCCGCCGCCACCGCCGCCGCCGCCGCCTTACTTGGTCTGAAATATGTTTTGCACCATGACCCTGGGCACGCGGTCTGCAGCCTCGCTCAGCGCCCGCACCTCGCCGTCGCTGCAGCGGCGGCAGCACCGGGAGGGGCATGAAGCACTGAGCAGGGAACGCCGAACAGTAAAGAAAGGCGCACCCACACAGCACAGCACCGCGTGCACATGCAGCCAGGCCGGGGCGCTGGCAGGGGGCAGGCCCAGCAGCGTGGGAGCTGGGCAGGCGGCGGCGAGGAGGAAGAGTATGCGTGGACGGCGCCGAGGGCGGTGCCTGCCACACCCTTGCTCACACCTCAGCCGCCACCCCAGCGCCCCCAGGTTTTCCGTCGCCTGCCGCAGGTCCTTGGCGCCTGGGATGGGCACCGTGCCCTGCAGGGCGGGCGCAGCGGGCCGCCAGACGCAAGCAGGCAGGTCTGCAGGTCGGCATGCATGCACATCTGGCGGGCCCTGGGCTTCAGCCACCCGCAACACGCACAGCTGCTGGGCACCGCGGCCCAGCTCCCGTGGCAGCTGTGGCTGGCCGCCAGCAGGCCGCCAGGGAAGCGTGCCGGCGGGCCGCGCCGAGGGGTGGCGGCGGCAGGCCACAGGCCTACCTGGCACATGCACCAGTTGATTGCCACCTGCGACAGCGTCTTGCGCCGCCGCGCCGCCACCTCCCCCATCACCTCCAGCAGCGGCTGCAGCCCCGGCAGCACCTGCCTGCAGGTGCGGCGGGCCGGGTGGCTGGCCGGTCAGAGGAGCGTGCAGGGCTGGCGGCGAGATGCCCGGCGACAGCTGGCGATCGAGTGGCTGCCTTG